CGGCGTCAAGTCGGACACAAATCTAACCGGCAAGCACTGCGCACCAATCACCAGTGATCTAATCTGCGCAGAACTGGCTCATCTCAAACACGGCCATTTTTATGTGAGTCAAGGTGGTACAGCTTCTTAAAAGGACATGAACGCTGCCAACCTACACACATCTTTTCATTTTTTTATTGTCAAATTTATTGACTTGGGAAAAATTATCACGATAAAAGTGAAGAATTTCGATCGCGATAAATTTTCGATTTATTGCCCAGCCTGATATTGAATGAATGTTTAATGTGTAGTGTGGAGTCTACACTGTTTCAGTGTAAGCTTGCTATCTCTAGTGAGGCTGTATTTCTTCCATACACAAATGTCTCCTTTTATTAGTAATTTTAAGAAGTACCATAACGAACCTAATTTTGCTTATGTCAACTAGTTTTCAGTAGCATAAGGATTACAGCGCTCTCTGCTGCCAGTTATTTCCTTTACAACTGCTTTCATGTGAGTCGAGAGAAAATCAACTCAATTCCCCTTCTTTCTTCAGGTCTTGTTTTGGTTGTTCAAATTGGTCAAATTGGATTACACCCATTTATTCTTCAGACACGGATCCAATAGAGAGCAGCTGACTGGTGCTTCTCAGCTAAATAAGTAACTCAGGTTTTATTTTTAGCTTTTAAAGTCCAAACAGAAATAATACCAGAGTATTAAAACACAACATGAGAACTTGCAGTTTATGTCCTGTCATTAAACAAAAGCTCACACAGCAAACTGTGCTCAGACTAGCATGCTGTACAATTGATTAACAAAATAAATGTTGCTGGCAATTTTGCACTTAGATTTCCTTTGTCTGCAGATTCACTATGTGAATGATTCGTCCACACATGGCTGACAAACTTCGAACAGTCTGGTGTTTTTTATCGTGCGGGTGATACTCAATTATTTTGCATGATGGACAGCTGAGCCTAAGTTGCTGTCAGATCACAAATTAAGTTAACTGAAGCTTTTAGAGGCTAAGAGACCTAAATAATTTAAAATAACATTTAATAAGTTAGCAGCACCAAGGTGCATACATACATTATGTAGTAAGATACTCATATATCATGACCATATTTGTATTTTCTTTGCAGAAAAATCTAGACCTACACCTCTAACCTGTTTTAAATTATTTTTGCTTGTAAAAATTTTACAGTGACAGTTGCTATTGCATTGATTCATTATGAAAATATCTTAAAATTCCTTAAAATGTAAGGATTGTACAGTTCAGAAACACCTGGAAAAACACATCAGTTTTCATAAAACCGTGGACAGCCCAGAGGTTTTTTTTCTTCCTATTTCTGGCACCCACATTAAATCACTACACCACGCTTTCTGCAACATTTTTCCAAAATCAGCCTGTGTGTCGGTGGTTTCATAATGACTAGAATTCATCAACTGCTCACCCTTGCAAGAGTTATTGATTTGTTGCAACAGCACAATACTCTCACAGACTGTTATTCTCCATCCTGACTCTTACAGCAGACATATCTGTGCTTTAATACCTGTGTAAATCAACATAAACAGGATATAGACAATAATGTGACTTTGTTTTTAAGGGACCATGCAAATCTGACTGTTTTCATCCTTTTGTGCTGCCATGTGAATCTCAACTGCCTATGACTCCAAATGTGAAAAGTACTTGACCGACTGTTTTCTGTCAGTGTTTTGTTTGGTTTAGGAACACTGACATTGTGATGTCACAAATGGGGACTTTTGAGACTAGCATAGAGCCCCCCCAATCCCACCCCTCACCTCTAGAGTCTTCACTAGGAATGGGAGATATGGTCTAAAATCTATATCACGATATCTTTTGAAGCACCTGTGGTAACAATGCATATCGTGATATCTTCTTTTCTTTTGTTGATCTATGTAAATATGACTGTTTTTGAACATTCTCACATACCAGATGGATTGCAGCGGAACAAATACAGCTACAAAGTATAGAATGACATTTAAAGAACCTTTAACGTTCAAAACGTTAAAAACAATTCAAGACATCGCAAATAATTGTTGTTATTAAAGGTCATTATGATTATTTTAAGGGATGCACAATATATCGGCATCAATATCGGTATCGGCTGATGTTGGTCATTTCTTAACATATCGGTATTGATCTGATAAATAAAACTGGGCCGATATAAACAATATTTTTTCCATCTTGTTTCCATTTGTTTATCTGTTTCAGAGGGTGAGGGTGGTGATGTGTATTTCTTTAGTCATGTGACAGTGATTGTAATCATCTCAGAAGCATAAATGTTTGTGGTGTGTGTACATAACAATGTGTAATGATTTAAATTACTTGTTATTTAATAAGCCATTAGGCGTAGGATTCCATAGGAAATATGAAATCCACCTTACGGATCTGTGAGGTTATTTAAACCAGAAGATTGGAACTTTTTAATGCAGGGATTAGAGAAACACATTCAACGACATTTTGTCGGTCTACATACCCTGAGCGGAAGTCCCCGTCTAGATCAGGAGGTGTAAAGGTCCAGCTTGACCTTATGGAGCCGGAGCATGTAGAAGAAGCCACGGCAACCGACCACCCGTCTTGAGATACTTCCGGGTCACGACAATTTGTTGGCGTCTGGTGAGACCTGAGCCTGGGTCTTGATGGTTCAGCTTTTATTCTGAAAGGAACTGTTGCAGCAGTTGGAACAAAAATGAATTTTCCAGCTTGTCGCTGGTTCTTTTGGTTGAAGAGGAGAGTTACGGATTGGCCACTCCCGTCACTTTCTCTGGAACGCTTTGAACTGGCGTTAGGGATGACGTGGACATAGTTTTATACTTCGGATGTTATGGTTTATGGTCGAATGAAAAGTTGACAGATTTGACCAAACACTATCAAAACCACACCTCCGTTAGATCTGTGAGATTCTGATTGGATCAGTGGAAATAATGTGTCATGTCTTTTAACGCTACGTGAAATCAGTCCTGTTGGAACATTTAAAGTCATAGTACCTCTATATTCTATTCAGACAGGAGGGTCAATGTTTCTCGGCTGGTCTGGGAATGCCTTAGGACTTCCCTGGAGGAGCTGGCTTAAGTGGCTAGGGAGAGGGAAGTCTCTCTGCTTAGGCTGCCTCCCCCAGGACCTGACTCTAGTTAAGCAGAAGAATGATAAAAGTGGATGAAGATGCAATGCCTCGTTTCTGCTGAGACAGTCATCAGATCGGGTTGGTACGCTTTGAGAACCACGCTAACAGTGAATCAGAAAAAAACTCGGCTCTAAAAGTATCTCAAACTACTTTTTCAATATCCATCTCTATATTACAGTGAAATGTATTTATTTAATTATCAAATTACTGTGTGACTCTTCTTCATCTAGAATCTTCTGCTGCTGATCTGTAACTGACAACGACCATGAAACTCACCAACTGGGGTGGGGAGAGTCACTTGTTTGTTTAGAAACAAGGGCTGCAGTACCCACATTTGACCACACGATGTCATTCTTACTTTACTCTTACATCACACACCTTGCACCAGTTAGCTTGTCTTTTCTTTGTAAATTTCTTAAGTTATAGAGCTTGAAAGTCTTTCCTAATTCCTAACTAATGAGGCCCTGTCAGAAAACCCCATATTCTAATGATGCCTGCCATTGGTATCTAATGCTAACGACATGCTGAGTGTGAATAAAGCAGCCAGGGCATGACTCTGAAATTATGCATGAGTTAGACATCCAGGATTCCCTTGAGGGCAGGAAGCTGTGCACAGGTATGTCAATTACGGATGTTTGTGTCAGCGATAAAAGGATTGTTCACAGGCTGATAAATTAATAGCAGCCCATGTGCATGTTTTTAAATAAATCTCTTAGCTTAATAAAACATGCTTCTGCTGCTGCTGCCAGACATTTATGATTCAAACATCTGTGTGAGTAAACTGGCTGAGCTGGTATAAATTCACCCTAACAGCAGCTATCTGGACAAGTTTAGAGTTCAACCAACCTTACCCTGTGATTGGGATTTTCACACCCCCAGCCTACGGTCACAATCTGCCGGAGAACAGCAAATGCTCGTCCTCGCTTGGACAACCTCACTTACAGCATCTGTAATATCAAATTCGGTTTAATTTTTTTATTTTACGGCCTTCAAATGAACTTTGAAATCACGAAATTCAGGAGAAGCGTTGTTCATTTGTTGAACTTTTCTGTTCTCTGCCACCTGGCTCTTTTTCTATGCCGCCCATTTTGGTCAAGTTTTACTTATAAAAGCATCTTTAAAGACTCTTTTCTGTGATTGGCAGGAACATTACAATTATAATTCAGCCTGAGAAGAAAGGTAAACAAGTCAGCCGAAGGAAGCTGCCGCTCGTGGTAACTTTGTTTTTCAAACCTCTGAGATGACAAAATGTCAACACGTAATTAGCACTGAAAACAAAGCTGTGGCAGGTTATTAAAGCCATACTAATGGCTTCTATTTGGATGGAACAGAAATACAATCAGAAAGGTCAAAGACCTTGTTTACTAGACTGTAACTTTAATTAATCACTTTAATTAGCACTTAAGTGACCGGTTTTGGTTGTAGATTACTGATTATTGATTTGTAAAAGCTTCATATTCAACTTCAAGGCCAAATAGTCCCACGACTAGCGTGTAATCACTGTACCTATTCCACCCAAGGCACCAGATTTGAAACAAAAATACTCAATATTACTTTTAACTTGCTTTAATGATGTATGTTAGAATTTCTGTCACGTCAGTTCAAAGCCAAGACAGCAGCTGAGGAATGGTTCCCTTCTCCCTCCTATTAATTACCAACAATGGATATTTCAGGCTATTGCAGCACTGCACTTTCTAATAATTTTCATGAAATGGCACTGCCTACATAAAATTGCAGCGATACGTCAGCGTGGAGTCGTTTTGGTGATGCTTGCAGGGTAATAACACTTACAACATGTGATTGCCTCTGATGAGTGACTGTATCTCTGACAGCCAGCCAACATAAAGGTTTCTGTGTGTGCACGTGTGTGTTCTCCAGATTACCCAGGAGCAGTTTATCCTCGCGTCTCACTCCCTGCACCTGCAGCGACCCGGCTGCGATGCCGTGTACCCAGTGGGTCTGTGTGGCTGGAGGAAGAGGTGCATCTATTTCTTCCTACTGCTGCTCTTTGTCACCATGATCGTGAACCTGGCCCTCACCGTCTGGATCATGAAGGTCATGAACTTTTCCGTGGTGAGTTCAGCTCCTTCTTTAAAGTCAACCAGAGTTAACTCAAAAAGAAAGATGTGTAATGAAAGAAATTAAAGGCATTAGAGCAACGTAATGGTGACATCTGGCTGCCAGTTAGATGAAGGAAAGTTTGGTGTCCTGGAATTTAAAACCACGTTTACTTTGTTGGTGTTGAATATAGGTAGCTCTGGGGGTCTAATCTATGGTACCAGAAAATGTATTTTTCTGAGAAAACCTGGTTCAGCACGTCTTAAGCTTAGACACACACCCTTACATTTGCATGTTTGAACCCACTCTAACGGCAGAAACGTTGATAACTGCAGTACAACTAGGGGTGGGAAATTATTTTTTATCAACATCAATGCCATTGTCGATTCTGTCTATCAATCCAAGTCCTTATAACTCCTTTTATCAATTTCCAAGTAGTTCAATGGGTGGCAAAAATTTAATTACGATCCCCTGCAATATAATGGGCCATTCCCATCTGTACCGGGCCGGGTAGCGTAGGTTGTTTACATATCTGGGTGGCCTGGAATTTTTCCGGGCCAACCAAGACTCATTCTCAGCCCTCTTCTCGAGGGGGTCTGCTTCAGGCCGACCAGGGCCAACACACCCACTGCTGACAGCAAATTCACACCTTCCATTAGAGCAAGCCTCTGACTGGTGGGTAGAATCAGTCCACATGGGCTTAAGGCAAGGATGTGTGGAATCAACCGGGCCAGGCTGGGGCCGACTGGGGCTACCCGGCCCGGGCCGGCCCGGTACAGATGGGAATGGCCCATTACTGTCAGTTTAATAACGGTAAATAGTCAATCGTACCTGGCATCGGTTGGAAAGATCTTTCCAAATGTTCTCCTTTATGCTCCATGTGAAGGCAGAGTCATCTTCTTGCTGTAGCTTTTGCAAAATGGGCAAAATCTCAACACAGGTCGGACTGTAGTCGCTGAAGTCTGCTAGTGTGGAGGTGTGAATGTAAGGTAAATGACTCTAACATGAAAGGCAGTGTTAGCTGATTAGTTACCTGCAGGATTAACCAGAGGTGTGACCAAGTCACTCCTTTGCAAGTCACAAATAAGTCACAAGTCTTTCCAGTCAAGTCTCAAGTCAAGTCCAAGTCAAAGACTACCAAGTCCAAGTAATATACAATAACTAACTTTGGTCATACCAAAGAATAGGGATGCACCGGCACCACTTTTTTTCCAAACCGGTACGATACCGATACTTGGATCTGAGTACTCGCCGATACCAATTACCGATACCGATTTTTCTACCACACAAAAAAATGCTATGAATTGGATTACAGGTTATTTTTTCTTCTCTGCTTTCAACAGAAAAGACTGTGAGGTAGATAAAAATATATAAATATTATCACAAAACTAAAATATTAGGTGAACAGAAATGACAAGTTACAGTGAATCCACTTTCAGGCAACTGCATTTGTATCGGTTCCTGGTATCGGTTAACTTTTACCGATATCGATACTGGTATCGGTATCGGACTCAATGCCTCCCCGATTGACACTCAGCTTTAAAGGGTTTGATTGAGGGGTTAAACCACCAAATAATTCCCGAGCGCGGCCGTGTCTGCAGGTCACCGCTCCCCCAGGGGATGGGTCAAATGCAGAGAACAACTTTCACACACCAGTGTGACAACTCATGGGACTTTAACTTTAGCAATACCAACAATCATATCATATTTAAAGTCACTTCAATCTCATTGCTCCCTTATTTTGATGCTCAGTTTGTACTTCAGCAAGTCTCGATTCTCGAATGCAAAGCCTGTGTGACTGGAATCCAGTTTGAATCATGCTCCAGACGTAAACGATGCTCCATGTTTTGACTCTTTGTTTCCTTAGGAGTTTGAAAGAGACTTGGTACTCACAAACACAGAATGTGTTATTCTAAAATAAATCAGAACCAGCAAGTGCTGCAAGCGCTGGTGACATTTTCAGTAACAATGCACACAGTTTACCATTTTGTCACCATTTTCCCAATGGCAACAGTCTCCTTTTCTGTGGCGAAGGGGTCCCCTGACTATTGCTGACTCCTTCCATCAATCTGTGCCACGAGTAAAAGACCTTATCAGGGTTTCAGAAATTGCACTTCACTGTTCCAGATCTCCTAGGAAATGGCAAGCTCCTAAAAATAATAAGGAATTTTCTAACAACCCCTTGTTTTTGTCAGGGTAAAGTCTAAGCCCCTTGTCAGGTTATAAAATAGTCTCTGAAAACTGTAACGACAAAAAGAAACCATACCACACTTCTATTACATACTGTAAAATTGTCCTTTGCCCCTTATCGACACTTTACTATCATATGTATCGGCAGCAACGTTTCTTTTAAAACTGACTTCATGAAAACTGCTAGCTGATACTTTTCTACTCCCAAACATTGTCTTTCTGTTTCACGCCCTACTTTTGCTCCCACTGGACACTTCAGAATCACTTCTTCACCTCCCCGTAAGCTCACTAGTGACTGTAGCATCTGTCTGCTGACATACAAAGACCTCCACTCTGCCCACACCCTCCTCCTGCAGCTCATTTGATTTTGTTCTCCTGTCTGTCCCCATTCCCCTGCTCTCATGTATGACGGAGCTCTCCCCGCTGCCTCTGCATTCCACTATCTCCATCCGTTGTGCTGCTGGCTCAATGCGCTCTGCCAACACGTCCCTCAGGGCCGATCTCTACACAGACACGTCCACACAAAAGATGTCCTCACACCACTCGTTTATTTTTTATTTTTGTCGTGCCATGCTTAGACTTAATCCAGTCCAATTTCAGTTCTGAATGTTCGGCAATTGACGCAAGGTAAAACCGAGCCATTAAGTAACTGAATCATCTCATTCAGAGTTTGCAATAGTGTACTTTTAATGGTTTTATATTCTGTCAGAGAACAGAGAAAAGCTGATGAGAAGTCACACAAAAACCTCAGTGACTGGATGAACACACAAGGCTCGTCTGAAGTTACCACCAAAAACTAGCTTCTCCTGAGTAAATCATAAATGGTTTTACAGAGGAGCACCACTATCACCACTGAAAAAAGCTTAAATGCTTCAGGGCCAAATTCACCACAAACGTTTCTAACGAACTTAAAAAAAACATTTCTGAGTCTCTTTCTGCACACATGCATGGTCTGCACGTGCATGCCGAACCAGGGGCGGCGTTAGGCCAGGCTACTTGGGCTGAAGCCCCGGATGTTTTATGAAAAGCCCCGGATCTAAATCGCGGAAGTAACATGCAGTACCAAAGTCCAACAGAGAGGGAGCAGCTGGCAGTAGTTTGTATACAGCCTGCCTGAGCCTCCACCACTGAAGAAGAAGCCCTTCAGCAGCCGGCTTCTTCCACACTCTGCCTGAAACGCATGTGTGAAGATGGACATAAGGACGTTTTTTAGACCAAAAGTACGGCGACAGAACCCTAGCTTTGATGAGACTGGTGTTGACTCAGGTTTGTGAGTCTTATTTGAAAATATTCGTTGTGCTGCTGGTTTGCCTAAAGTTAGCTTACTATCAGGCAAAGTTGTTGGAGAAAGAAAGGGAATATTTACTATCATCTCACACTAAACACTAACAGGAACAATACTCTGCCCTGAATATGCTTAATATGTAGCTTCAGATTAAAAATTATGTGGTACAAGACATATATATATGATGTTGACTAGTGTGTGTCACGTGTGTGTGTGTGCGCGTGCGCGCGTGTGTGTGTGTTAAGCCCCGGATCTTCTTCAGTCCTAAATCTGCCCCTGTGCTGAACGTTCATATCTTCTGCATTAGCCGCCAAGAGAACATAGACAGGAAACAGTAGGGTCAGAAAAGGCCCGTCTCTTTCATGCCACATGGAAAATTAGCATTCATGGATTCACCCACCTTTGCTTGCGACCGCGGTAGGCTGTGTTGTTTTTGTGGCCAGGAGAGAGCAGAGCACGCCTCAGCTAGTAGAAGCTAACCATTAGCATTAGCGACTCCAAAACATGGTGGAACACATTCAGGCTTGTGTTTTGTGTGGAGAGAAAACATCAAAGTTATAATTTTTACCCAACAAATACGGGCAAATGGAGACAGAGGAAGAGTCATGTTGTGTGACTTTTGACCGTTTTGAGCCGATTTTCCTCTTGTGTGAGAATCTTTGAGGTCGGTTTTGCGTTGTGTATTGTACAAAGGGTAATGAGAACTGATTAACTCCTCACGACCAGCTCCTGTCCAGCAATTATGAGGTTGCACGAATATCAAACATGTTTGACATTTTGCTCGTCTCGCACTGTTGAAGTGAGACTGCCCCAAAAGAACCAGAACTGCCCACACAGCGCATGCGTCAACACAGCGTTTGTTTTTATTTTTATACTTTTCTCCACACATAATGACAGGGGTTGTCAATGAAGCATGTTTGTTGGCAGCAGATTTAACCTTCTTTATGATGGAACGGCGAGATCTCGCACAACACTGGATGTGTCTTGGAAGTGTCTCAGTCTTATAAATTGCTAATGTTGTCTAGCTTCTAGTATTGCGATCTATCATCTCCTCAGAATTCTGACACCCCTGGTAAATCAATAAAAAATAAAATAAAAATAAATAAAAAATAAATAAATTCTTACTGTGGTTTTGCTAACTTGCCAGCTGTGGATAAAATATCCAGTAAATATATTTTGTGATACTTTGAAGTCATGTTTATCACTGATCTTGGTGCGTTACGAGAACACCAACAGGAAGCTAATGATAAATCACTGCAGTGGTGTGTTATACCTGGCAATGTCTTCTACAAGTAGCAGGTGAATGGTGAAGCATGTATTAGAATGATTCTTACTTTTTTTTTTAAAGGGTAAATGTTTGTAAAACCAACCTGTTGATAATATTTTATATAATGGATGTAATTTTCACTTTAGAAGTGGGTGTGGGTGTGGGGGGGGGGGGGGGGGGGATGGGGTCAACCAATGTCAATTTAATATAGCGTAATATTGTTTTGGATGGTAAAATGTGCAGGGGTCAAAACTTGACTTTGGAAAAGGGGGGGGGGGGATGTCCCTCTGTCTCCCCCCAAAATTACGTCCACATTTATATGTACTATGCAGCCCTGATCTATTTTCGCTACTTTTTGTGCTTGTTTTGAAAATGCTTCTAATTAGCAATGAAATATGCTGTTAGAAACAAACTGGATGCCCAGTTAAATCTGTCCTTTCCTTAAGTCACCTCATCACATCCACAGCTGCTCATCCTCCTCACTTCCCTCTATGGAGGAGGCTTGTCAGAGACACACTGTGTCTAAAACCTTGTCGCCTCCATGTCATGTCCTACTTCTCCCCTGTCGCTCAGCAGGCAGGCAGGTGGACAGGCAGCGGTGCCTGTTTTATCTAATTGGAAGTTAAAACTAGAAAGATCCAGTTTTCAGTTGCTTTTACGATTAATCTAAACCGGAACGGCTCATCACAACATCACTGATTCTGTTTCAGGATGGGATGGGAAAACTCCAGCTGAACCAGGATGGGCTTCACCTAGAGGGACTCAGTGAGTTTCAGATGCCTCTGTACGTCACTGAGATCAAGTCCAGAAGAGTAAGTCCCTCTCCTTACTTTACTCGTCTTTCCTCCTCCAAATCAATACCCCCACATTGACAAACGTCGAATACGCACCATCTGACTGAACCATACACTCAGAGATGTTTGGGAGAAGGCTTTTGCATATTGATCTTTGAGTGTCGAGGAATTTTTGATCAATTCATTAACAACAAAGGCCAACTTTCCTCTCCGGATCAAACTCGACAGCACTTTGAAGTATGTTTGTGCCTCGATTAGAGAGATTAGTCTTCCCTCTGTCTGTTCCTTCTCTCCTCTTCATCCACTTCCCCGTTTCCTGCTGTCTTCCAACTGCGCTCCATCAGGACCTCCTATATTTGGGAGATGGATAATGGGCTGCTTCACTGCTCCTCTCTGGCCATATACAACCTTTAGGAGATTACAAACAATTACACGGAGACCAAAGCCTCACTGCTTGGTTTCCAATCAGCAATAAATCCTCCTCCTTAAACTTCTTCCTTCCCTCAAACATACTCCTCTTTGAGGTTTAGTAGATTATCAGCTCTAACAAAAAAAGTTGATCCAAATGTCCTGCTCCCGCACAAATCAACCTCTCTGTAGGATCCCTGCAAGCATCACCCAAACGACTCCACGCTGACGTATCGCTGCAATTTTATTTAGGTGGTGCCATTTCATTAAAATTATTAGACATGGCAAACTTCAGTGCTGACAATGAGGGGTTCGTCTTGAATTTGAATTTTGAGGGACAAAGCTCAATAGTGAGTCCAATTTTGAATGGCAGAGGAAGAAACAACTCAGAACTGCCCCTTTTGTTCACTAGTTAAGCCAACCAGTATTTAACAACAAAGTATGTGAAGACCATAGTAGTTGTTCAAGGTTAATGAAGGGCGATGCCAGTATTTTACTCCTGCTACAATACAATCAGCCGACAGTTTTACTGTCTCGTTTCACAGGCGCTTGTCTGACTCGTATCTATCATCACCACAGATATTGTGTTACAAGAGTCTCTGCATCCATCACCTGAGGACGTACGACGAGTACAGAGATCAGGGATTAAATGCAGTACATCAGTCTGTTTTATGTCTTGTATTACTTAAACCACATAATTCAATAAGAATATATCAAAAACAGCTGTGGACATAGTGATAAGCCATAAGAATATTGTTTTCACGCTGCAGTTACAATCTTTGAGCTTATTTCATGTGATAATTAATGGATGCCCTGAGAAAATACCCTCGTTTTAGCTCAACGTAACTGTAATTGGCAACAATTACAGTTACAAATTTAAAATAAAAAAGTTATTGGTGGGGATTCTTAATTTTACTCATGGAATAACACAAGTACTAATAAATGTACAACGCCAGCTATTCCCAATGTCATAAAACTCAATGTCTGCTCTGTTCAGGTGCAACAAGTTGTCTTTGAACTTTTTTAATTGCTGTCATCAGTGTTGGGAATGTTAGTGTTACTAATTACCTCATCAAAAAAGTAACTCAGTTACTGAGTTACAAGATTCTAAAATTATTTCATTACCAAGAAAAATAACTATTTCATTACTTTTTTTTAAAAAAATATGGGATGCCCTCTTTATTAAACCTTTTTTATTTACTATAAATTACTACAACTGATAGAATTTTAACTGATAGTAATTGTTTTGGATTCCTAAAAGATGCATTTGAAAGGTTTGAAACGGCTCAACAAGCACTACCGATTATTAATTAATACTTGTTTGCACACATTATAGTTGAACAAAGAACAGCTGGGATCGAATAAGCAGCCAGTTTTTTGGCTCTTATTTTGTAGATTGACTCATGTAAGTAAAATCAGTCATTAAGCATATAAAGAAAGTATCTGACCCTTTGCTTGATTACACCTTATAAAAGTGCCTTAACACAAGCTGCAAAGAGGAACTGAACTGAAAAGCCATGAAGACTTTATAAAGCTACTGTGATAAAGTAATTCTGAGTGCATTTCATCCACCCTTTCTCTACCTTGAATGCCTATTAAAAAAACTTCCTGCAGAGGCCACATAACTTTGCAGTTTCTGGACAAAGAAACAGTTGCCACCACCCATAGAAAGTGGTGGGGCGGGATCATGGACGTAATTTGGGGGGGGGGGGGGGGGGGTTGGCATGTCCCCCCACTTTTTCAAAGTCAAGTTTTGACCCCTGCACTTTTTACCATCCAAGAACAATATTACTTTATATTAAATTGACACTGGTTGAGCTATAGAACCAAGCAGAAAACAACCATTTGTGTTGAAGCCTGTTTCCCAGTAGAACATACTGTAAAGATCCCCCCCCACTTCTAAAGTGAAAATAATGTCCATGGGCGGGATCCACGTTGTCTTTCAAACTGTCTGTGCATGCTTTTGGGCAAAGACATACTCACCGCTACGGATGTCAGTCAACAGGGCAGTCCATCATTACATTGTGGAAGAACTACATAATACATGAAGAAACCCATAAATTATTAAATCATTTTTTTAAATAAATGGGCTGTGATTGGCCAGCCACTATACCGGGCGGGGTAGCAGGGTTCCAATGGAGCATTGCTAGTGCATGAATTTGAATACACCTTCCAGTGCTACTTGGACACGTTATCAGTGATGAACCCGGGGTCATAGGGTGTTTCGGGTCTTTAATCTTCATACACCCTCACCCGGGGGACCCAGCTGGGGGTGATCAGTCCCCAGCTTGTATCCAAGCAACACATTCTCACTCCTAGCGCGTCAAAAACAAACGCTTGGTCAGCCACCCTCCACGTCAGACCCCTGACGCCAAAAGTGCCCTTTTTCGTTACTTATGTGCGAAAAGGGGTTTTTCCCTTATTTGACTGCAGATCCCAGTGCAGCGTAAAACTGACGCGATGGAATGTCCGCAGCCAGGGCACCAAACAAGCTCATTGTACCTCACCTTAACCTTATCCTCTTATTTAACCTTCCCCTCACCCTCATCCTAACCTTAACCATCTTGCTATCGAACATGTTAGTGATGTGTCGGTCGCTCTAAAAGCCGGCTCTATGAAGTGAACGGTGGGAGCCGCCTCGTCATTGGTCGAGTTTGGACCAAGCCAACGCGAGGGGGAGGTTTCAACTACCACGGTGGAGGTCAAAAGTAGAGGGTATTTGTAACCTCCCCCTCACCAGATGGTATGTTCTAACGTTCCCCTTGGGCGGCAAATACGAAAATTCATGGTCAGACTCGTGACTGTTAGAGTCAGAATGCATGGGAAACAAACGCTTGATCACAGTGAGAGTAACGTTTTAGGTAGCAAGAGGGTTAAGGTTAGGATGAGGGAGAGGGGAAGGTTATAAATAGTGAAACGTTAAGGTTTAGGTGCGGTTAAACGAGCTGGTTAGGTGCCGCATTTCAGGTTTAGGTGCGGGTAAACGAGCTGGTTCAGTGCCGCATCAGCGGGTATCTAATCACGTCAGTTTTACGCTGCATTGGGATCTGCAGTTACAAAAGGGAAAAACCCCTTTTCGCAGATAAGTAACGAAAAAGGGCACTTTTGACATCTGGGGTCTGACGTGGAGGGCGGCTGACCAAGCGTTTGTTTCCGACGCTTAGGGTGTGAGAATGTGTTGGTCCAAGTGGCCTATTGTTCCACGGATCGCCCCTGCGGATCCACAGCCACCGCGAGGCCCTCTCTGCGGCCTCGAGGATGGTTTTGGTGGCTTTCTCCAAGGAGTTTGAGGGTTCGCTGCAGTGAGTGGCCAGCAAAGCCTCGGCACCTTGACAGGCTCACAGCGAACTTTCAGCCGTTGTTCCGGCACTCCGAGCTCAGCACTGCATACTTGGCCCTCTTTCGCTCGTGGGCCTCTTTGATACGGTCTTCCCAAGGAGCTCAGTTCTAGGATGACCACTTGCTTGGTGGACTCAGATGTTATCACCATATCTGGGCAGAGAGACATATCTGTGATGTTTTCTGGAAAATTGAGCTGTCTACCAACATCAACTTGGAACTGCCAATCGCGAGCGGTAGAGAGAAGCCCCCCTTGGGAGCTGGGCCGGTGTAGAGCCCTGCAATGAAGCCCTAGGCCCTCGGGTCGGCCCGGCCCGACAGCCCGAGGGCCGGGCTTCGGGCCAACGACTGTGTAATTACCTCGGACACGGGCCGGGCCGGGTGCCTTTATTTTTAACCGAATTCATTAAAAAAAACTGAAACTCTTGAACGCAGCAGCACCTGCCTGCTTCTCACGCACCGGCACCCGTTAGCTCAGCTAAGGTCTGTGTGGTTTATAAATGCGCCTATATAAACGAATTCTCAAACTGCTGATTGAAACATGTGCCCCTATTCTAACGTGCCATTTTATGTCCACTTTGATATGTCAGAAACCATTCATTTATTCTCATGAAAACGGCAGCATTCTATTTTTCTGTGAATAAATTTGCTCTGCAGTTAAAAAAAACTACAGCATTCATTGCAGAGTTTTTTTCAGACTGCAGAGGGCATTTTCAGAGCGTTTATTTGATCTGCCGCTCTGAAAATGCGCTCTGCAGTTAGAAAATTAGAATGCTGCTTTTTTTTTCTAATTGCACAAGAGCGCATTTTCAGAGCAGATTAAATTTACAAACGCATCCAATTAATATAGTGTTCGTAAATTTCATCTGCCGCTTGAAAAATACGCTCTGTTAGAAAAAAAGCTGCATCGATGCTGTTTTTCTTTCTTTTCTTTCTTTTTTTTTCACTGCAGAACGCTTCCCACAGATAAATAGAATACTGAGCATTGCATCACGCTAAAACATTACGAAAGGTTAAAAAAAAGTCGGGCTCGGGGCGGGCCAGAGAATGCTGAAAACCTTTTCGGACTGGGTCAGGCTGGGGCTCCACCCCCTCGGGCCAGGCCGGACACAGGCTGAGATTTTAGGCCCGTGCAGGGCTCTAGGCCGGTGGTATTGTGCCTTCTGCCCTGCTTTAACAAAGGTGATAGCTTGTTGGGGAGCTGCCTGGGTCTTGCTGTGCTGGATTGCTGTGCAGATTGAGTCCGCCAAAGCTTTAAGCACCTGGTCATG